TCGCGAATGCGATCTAGGGATAGCAAATACGACCCCTCGCAAATTCGGGAAAGGCATCGCAAAAGCGACCCCTGAGAATGTTGCAAATGCGACACAGACATTGCATTTGCAAGTCAATCCCTTTCGCAAAAGTAGCCAATTGATCGCAAAAGTGACCTGCCCCTAGCCTAGCTCATCATTGCATTTGCGAGGATGGCTTCGCAAATGCGAACTGGTGCTCGCATTTGCGATAACTACAGCACCAGCATACCAGTAGATATGAATCAATTCCAAACCATTCGAAAATACGTCTGAATCTCGCCCGAGCCCTGGGCCTCCACACCAAATATTTATACAAGTCTAAAAATATCATACAGCAAGTTCAAAATACCAATATATCACCCGAAATCAAAAATCGGATACCAAAATGTATGGAAATTACAATAAAACTCAATAATCGCTAAAATCACAATCAAGCGTCTGATTCATACCAAACCAACTCGGAATGACACTAAACTTTACACACAAGTTCCAAATAACAAAACGGGTCTATTTCAAGTCCTGAAACCAAAATTCGAACCCGATAGCCATAAATTCAACCTATGGTCAAACTTAGAAATTTTCTAAACCTTCAAATTGCCAACTTTCGGCAAAAAGAGCCAATTCAACCTAGGAACCTCTGTATCCAATTTCGGGCATTCACCTAAATCCAAATCACCATACAAACTTATTCGGAACCATCAAAACACCGTTCCGGGATCGCTTTCACAAAAGCCAAACCTTGGTCAACTCTTGCAACTTAAAGCTTCCAAATTGAGAATTTCTCTTCCAAATAGAGCCCGAACCTCTCGAACATCGAAACCCATCATACACGCATGTTGTGATACATTATATGAAAGCTACTCAAGACCTCAAACCACCGAACAAAATGATAATGCTTAGAACGATCGATCGAGTCATTACAACGATGTACAAACTGGAGAAGAAAACTTAGAAGAAAGGATATTGCTAATAATTAAACAGATTTTTGCACAGCCGCCTAATAGGCCTAGGAAGTTGGCCTATTTCCATTTTATTTCTTCATCTGTTGTCAACACGGAACTCTTTAATACTGTCTTCGGTATATGTTGGATGATAGTTGAGTTATCACTTGTGAAAGAGCAAAATGAAAATAGTCACTAATCTTCTCTACATTGACAGAGTAAAACTAGAACAAAATCTACGCAGGCCCACAAGCAGCAAAATTTTATGCTTCTCGATTAAAAATAAAATGCCATAATTTGGCAACAGAAAAGAGACCGCTAGAGGAACTTGAGCATTTTTCTTCATCACATTTGTCCACAAAAGGTGGAGAATTACTTCCTGAAAGGCGTGCAACTATTGCTTGAATATTAAATCAGTTGCAGTTGTTGCTATATGAATCATCTAGATGTCTATACTGCGCTATCTAGGTTTCTCGGTAACCCATTGTCCATTTAACACTATGTTCATGATACAAATGTAATATGGGAGAAATTCAAAAATACCTAGATTTACAAGTGGTCATTCAAAAATAGCCACGGTTTCAAAAGTAATTAAATAGCCACTTTTTATGTAAAGATAAATCTGAACGAAAACACTATTCAAAATCAGGAAAAATACTCCAGTATAATATATTGGAATTCTAGTATAAGATATTGGAATTCCAGTATATATACTGGAGTTCCAGCATAAGTAGTAACTATAGTTTGCCTAGTTGCCATTCTTAGCTACTATTTAATTGTTATTACTAACTAGTATCACTTGTATCCAAATGCGCAACGAATATAACCTGTGTCAACTGTATTCGTTCGCACACTTGTATCCAAATGCGTATCAACTGTAACCAAGACGAAATACAAGGGTGTAAACAAAGGATACAACTTGTATCGACTGTATTTGTTCACACAACGAATACAACTAAGGCAAAATATAGAAATACATAAAAATAAAATGTTCTTGTTGAGAGTCAAACTCAAAACCTCCGCTAACTAAGACATGCGCTCTAACCAATTAAGCTACTCTTATTTCAGATCAAAATCATTAATCTCTTACTTTATGAATTTGATATAAAATTCAAATATAGTTACGAATGATAAATTTGCTGAAATGTTAGTTACGAATACAAATACAATGTAAATACTTCTGAACATGAATAATACTTCAATCATTTAATAAACTTGATATATATACAAACAATTTATCTTTAAGGTCATTCAGTGGTTATAAGGTATATTTCTACATGTTCTCCTATTGTGGCCCTCACGTCCACATTGTCCGCATGAACTCTTTGGCCTCTTAGCTTGTGATTCTGAAACCTTCTTGTATGTCACCTTCTTCGGTCTTCCAGGCATCTTATTCCAAACTGGTGGCAACACAACTTGTTCTAATACCTCTACTGGAATTGTCCATGTGCTTTCATCTAGATGAGGATAAATTGGAATGTCGTATGCTTTCAACATGTATTCATTGTTGTAGTACATAGAGCAGTAATCTTCACCCTCTAAGTTTTTTGACCTCAAAACCGGCCACGCATGTGGACAAGGGATTTGATCAAGCTGGAACCTTCTACAACTACATGTCCTTTCCCTAAGTCAAACGATGAACAACCTCTCATTATCAATAGCTGAATGTAAGTTTTCAGTCGATGGTCTCACCTATATTTGGTAGAAAAGCAAGATTAGTCTACACTTTATGTATAAAATCCAAAAGAGTAACTTTATTGAGTTACTTTGTAGAAAAACATGAAGTTTGAAAATAAGGAATATGTTATATAATATAAACTTACCATCATATGTTGTGATGCATCAAGATTTTCATCCAGTATAGCATTGTATTTAAAGGTAAACTTTGTAAATGTCGCTTGTGCAGTGTTTCGATTTGTGTAGTTCCACCTGTTGATCAACATTCAAATTTCTTCCAGTAACTGCTGTATCGGAAGTTCCCTCACTTCCTTAGTTGCTGAATTTAATGATTCTGCAATGTTAGAAGTCATTGTCATTGTTCTGTTGACTTTTGCATGCGCTCTACTCCACCTGTGATACCCAATATCAAATAAGTAATCCTTCACTCTTCTATCTATTTGTTCCATCTCTGTCATATGGTGATTAAACTCTTGAATAGTATATGCTCTTGCAGTAGCAAAAAATATCTCTCTTAGCTCTTCTTGGCTCCTCTTATATCTGTCTTTTATGTTATTCCATAGATGCCATATACAAACACAATGAGAAACTTGAGGATATACTATTGAAGCTGCCTTAGCTATGCTCTCATTTCTGTCCGATACAATGCACATGTCATCTCTATCACCAAACGCTTCTTTGAACCTTTCAAAGAACCACCCCCATGAGGCATCATTCTCCTTATCAACAATTGCATATGCAAGTGGAAAAATCTTGCCTGTTTACAATATATTAATTATATTCCTTCAACAAAGTATTTATTATAAATATATTCTATTTAATAAATACCTATGGATGGTTAATTGATATGCACGGATTTAAAATAACTATATAAGTGTAAATGGCTATACACAGAACTTTTATACATATATGTATACTCTGATATACAATTAGTTCTTTGGATATACATGAATATGTTACTAATATTTAGAATAAATGAAATATAGTAGAGTATTTCTAGAACAAACCTCCAGCATCTTGCGAGCAAGCTGTGAGTAACATTCCTCTGTACGTTGCTTTAAGGAAGCTTCCATCAACCACAACAATAGGTTTGCAAAATTCCCATCCCTTTATTGATGCATATAAGGCGACAAAGGCATACATGAAGTGTTCTTCATCTGATTTTCTCAAACACACAACTGACCCGGGGTTGGAATGCATCAACATATATAAGTAGCTTGGCAGCTTTGCATACGACTCACTTGGGTCTCCTCTTAAAAACTGAAGGGCCTTTTGCTTTGATCTATTTGCCTTCCAGTAGCTTAAGTCAATACCGTAATTTTTTTTCATGTCTTTCATTATGTCCTTTGCAGTGTATATTGTTTTTGGATCAACATATTTATCACAAATAATTCTTCCAATAACAGAAGCAGTAGCTACACGTTGTGTAAACAACCTATCCCTCGCCGAACATGTTCCTTACTGAATTTTCTAACCCTAAAGATTTTTGACTTGTTTAGCGATGAAGACTTGAAAAACCACGTGCAACGGTCATTGACACATACCAGACAGTATCTAATAACATCCAAATTTACACGATAATAAATAAATTAAGATAAACTATTGTGTGTTGTGAAAATAAAAAAACTGTTGATTGTATACAATTATTAAAGTTAGATATACATTCATACCTTGATGGACTTGATCGATCAACCTTAAACTGAAATTTTTTCTGAATAGCATAGTTTTTTAACGCCATCATCAGTGTCTCCTTGTCCTTGTAAAGTTGGCCTTCCGAAACAGTATTATTTAGAGGATCATCTATTATTGGAGTTTCATCAAAATCTACAACTTCGGCATCATCTACGTTATCAAACGCAATCAACTGTAGTGTATCCCCGTTATGTATATCATATGTATTAGCAATTTGTAGGCATACAGATGAATTTTCCTCGTTTCGATTAAACGCGTGCATATCTTTCTCTTTCACTGTTAAACACAGCGGATACTCATTAAACGCATAATTTTTCTTCTTCAACTCGATATATACACGCAATCCCATATCATTGTGTATCATCATTGGTGGTGAATCTTCATCGCATTTATACTGGATTTCAAGCAAATTAATTGTGGTGTCAATCATCAACTGTTTTGAAATTGTAGAAACAAAATCAATAAATTTAGTTTCAGTACTAATCACCACGCCTTCAACTGAGTAATCCACAAATCGATTGTTGATATCCCAGCGTCCCCCGTGCTGTATCAAAATCGGCAAAGTAGCCATTGAATATGTATTCTATATACAGAGATTAGAACCCTTGTTCTTCGGTATCTTAGAACTTCAAAAATAAAAAAAAAATTGTTTCCAAAGAAAGAACTAATTATTGCATCAGAATACAGAAATTTGATATTCAATTTCCGTGATGGCTGAAAAATCTTCGCACCCTTGTTGATTTTTAAAGGAAATATATTTTCTGCATTTGGGTTTATTTTGGTTGACTGGGTAGTTACCCTTCTGATGGGATACATCATGCAAGCGTGTTTGGAGGACAAAATCTTAAAACCCCCCTATTTTTGAGGTTGTATAATCCTGTCTTTCAGGATTTGGCTATTTTATGCCAATATTTTTGGGCTACTAGTGCCAACGTAAATTTATGGCCAATACAATGCCAATTACAGTGAAGGATTGCTATACGGTGTCAATTCCTCTAAATATTTTTCCAGATCCGATGAAAGCCCCATTAGAAATTGACCATCTCTCCTCCTCCTTTTCTTCTTCTTCGCCAAGTGAAGACATGTCACGGTATAAGAAAGAAATGAAAGAGAATATAGCTTTTTGGGGCAATTTTCTGGATTTTTATAAATGAAATTGAAAAAAATATTTGAAATTCGAACTATAATCTAAACTAATAACGAAAATTAACAGAATTAAAAACTCCAGCTAAAACTCCATTGCTAAGTTAGGGATCTGCAGATGAATAAGAAGAATGAGAAGAATTGGAAGAAGAAAGAAAAGGATCGAGAAAGAAGGAGTGTGAAGAAGAGAGTAAGATTACCAGAATTTTCGTGAATGCCTTTCTCTCTCCAAAGTTTTAGCTATGTAACTGAATTTGAGAGAGCAAAGTTGGCAACCAGCACACTAGCGCATAAAAAGCTATGATATTGAATTTTTTGGGTTTTATTTCAACAATTCTTTGATTATGCTTAATGCGTGCCTTTATGCAGTGAGAATTTAGTTTTGAGCATTTTAAGCTGCTTCTATGCCGTACGCAGATGTTTATTGTCGGAATTCTTCTTTAACTGTTTCTGATTTTGCGCTTTTTTTGCTCATTTGATCTGTAAGCTTTCTGGGTTTATGCGTTTATATAATGTGCATATATGTTAGTTTCACTGTCCAGATAGTTGTCAAATCTATACTTTTACCAAAGTGATATATATATATATATATATAGTTGCGGTAAGTTGATGGCCAGAGTAAAAATAATCTATTTTTTATAAGTATAAAAAAAATAGTCTAAACTTTGATAAAACTTCTAGTAGCCTAGGAATGTGAGCCTGAATAGAGAGGAATGGATACAGATGATTCATATAGTTGATCCTAGCATTCTATGATAGAGTCATAGTTGATTGATTGATTGATTTATGGAAAGAGAACGAATAGCGAGTGAATGGCAAAACTACAATGAAACCATTAATTGCTGAATCTGTTGGGATGTGTCGAAATCTGTGACTGTGAGCTTGAAAAGAGAGGAATGGGTACATATGATTCATGTGGCTAATCTGACCTTGTTTCTGGTAGTCGTAGTTGGATGATTGATATTTTGGATAGAGCATGGTAAAATACCTTTTGAGTTAATAAGCTTCAATGGTTTGCTCGAGCGGTTATGATGTCTTCGCTCCAGCAGTTATCAATTTCTTTGCTGCTTACAATACTTATTGGGGTCTATAGAGTGCACCTACGGGCTACGGCTGCATAGTTATGTAGATGGTATGCATAAGCCTATAGGAGCTCTATGTGAAGATGTCTTGAACAGAGCAGCCATTTTGTGATTGGAGCGTTCAATATTAGTTTTTAAATTATAAGTGTTCCCTAGATGGTTTAGAAACTTTATTCTGACCTGATTTTTAACATGTGAGATGCTTTCGGAAACTTTGAACAGCTCCTGCGGAGGTAGGGCTACAATGTGTAGCAGTTTTATCAGATCCTGCTTGAGGCACGCGTAAGCCTTGAAGCTCAGCGAAGCATAGTCCGGTCACTTTTATTTGCCTAAGTGGCGCTTTATTGCAAATATCAAGGCATTAAGGTATGTACTTCAATGACAATGGACTCTATCTTAAAGAAGAAAATACTAGAAATAAATATGTAGCTAACGAAAAATGATACTTAGACGTTAGGGACATTAAGGATGGTTATCTTAATGATTAGAAGTCAAGGTATGCAGGGGCGGAGCTAGAGAACAACCTACGGTAACTTAATTTTATATCGATTTTATATTTGTATTAGAAAATTCATTAAATATGTATAAAGGTTTAACTGCGAATCCAGTAACTAAAAAGATACATGAGTTCGGTGACAAATTCAAAACCCATAAACTTTAAATCCTGGTTCCGCCTCTGAAGGTATGGGAGATAGAAGCTTAGAATAAAAAAAACTAGTCACTAATTTGAATGAGAAACTTGAAATTGCCGCTTTGCGTTTGATTAATATCTTATATAGGTTTTTGATTTAATTGAAATTATTTTTACTTCANTTCCTATACAACGTGAATTCAGATTAGTCAGGTCAGTGATTTGACTATCGAAAAAAATATAAACTATAGCAGCTAATACGGAAAGGTCGAGGAACCTGATATCTCTTTGTTAAATTTAATATCAGGTACACCATTAGGGAACGTGGTAGGGTTGTATTTTTTTTTTTTTTTTTTGCATCATGTATTTTTTTCGTATTTTCTTCATTTCTGTCTTTCTTCACTAAAACGCGCGCTTCAATTTGCAACTTCAGTTTGTGCTGACACTTGCACTCTTCTGCTTTTGCCTTTGACATTGACGTGTAGTAAAACTGTATGATTTCTTTCCTAGTTGAAATGTAGTATTCCTATGTGAACATTTCATGGGAGTAAAATCATCTCCGTTTTTATGGCTGCACCTTTACTCTCTTGCTCTTCTGTCCTGTGAAAACTGATATACACATGTCTGTTGCAAAGTTATCAATTAGCAATTACGGAAATTGTTGATTCTGGAGGCAGAGGTGATGCTGGAATGAACCTAATCAAGGAATTCTTTGAACACTTATACTGAACATCCATTAACATCACTATATATCAGTTCATTTGATGACAGTTTCTGCTGCAGGAAGACTTTGTAGGCAAAACTGATATGGCAGCAAGGAATGCTTTCAGATATGTTTCTCGTAGGCTCTACAGCTATGGTAAGGTACTAAGCGAGGAGGAAAGAGCAGCTGAAAATGTCTACATCAAGGTGATTTTTCATCGTGCTTAATGACTTACCTGGAGCATGTAGTTTTTCAAGTGTATATGGTGTGCTTTTTGGACTCTCACATAATTGGAACAATGATTCGGTCGTTTGTTCTATTTCAGATGGTTTATCTTCCTCATCTTGCTTATATCGTCTTGATTGAGTATCATTTTATTAATATGCCTATCAGTTTCAAGTATCCATCCTTTCTTTTGCATCATCATTGTAAGTATTTATCAATTAATCGATTTGGTGGTGGGGGTTTTCCCCTGACTATCAATATGGCTTTATTGCAATATCAAACCTATTGCTTATTATATCAACTAGTACTCCTTTCTTCTGTTCTTGCTTCAGAAAAAGGAAAGTACCTGGTTTTTAGTATGTATTTAGTAGTTTTGTTGCAAACAAGCATATTGCCTACTGTTTTCCATTAAAAGGGTGTACTGTACCTGTTCTCTTGCACGGTTCAGGCCAATTCTGTATATGTTACTGGGTGTTTATTTTTTTTATTCGGCTTACATACTTCTATTGGTGAAGGGGTTCTTAATGCAGTTTATTTGATGCTTTGTTCTGAAGATTAATTTCATACTGAACGTTTCCAACTTAAGTCTGTATTTCGGTTGTCTAACTAGTTAATTTCCTGTTTGACTCTGTAAAAAGTTGAGAAGGAGAAGTTGGAGAAGCTTGCATGCGCTGTACGTTCTTTTAATTTGTATATGCTGATCAATTATGGTCTCCTTATTCCATGCTCGCCCACTTATGCAATGTTGAGATGTTCCCTACACTAATCAGCATTGAGTTGAGTTAGATAGCTTAAAACTGAGCCCTTCAAGTTGTGAATTTGAGCCAAGAGATAGAGATGATGAGGTCAACCAAATAAGTTATCACTTCTATTTTAGAGTTTACTACACTAATCAGCTGGTGTTTATAGTGGTAAATGAAGTAAGGCCCAATTATTCGCTACAATGAGCTGTGGGAAATGGGAAAGTACATGAAGCAAAAGGCACACCAAACACATACCCTACAGAAATTTATCATTTAGGCTCACTTATTTCAGTCCCTTTCTACACTCCCAACTACCCTTCATCTATGGCCTCAAATTTTCAGCTCAGAATTCAGAAAGTAATGAATATTCAAGAAACAAGACCCCATTATGAAGTCTTTGTCCTTTTGTTGGGTGAAAAGTCATACTCTTTGAAAAGAGAAAAGGACAGTTCTGTTTTTTCTTCTTCCTATGACTGTCAACTATGCCAATAGCAAACATAGTTGTACGAATTACAAGTAACTAAGACCACTAGCAAAAGAGAAAGAGATAAGGTCATTCAACAACAAGTTAGTGTACTCTGATCATTCTAGTATATTACTCTTAGTTTTGAACAGGTAAAACTAAGATTACTTTTAAGATAGAAACAGGCAAGCAAGTTCTTGATCAGTTCTTGGTTGCCTCTTTTGCGTTGCAGCTTTCAGAAATGGATATTGGATTAACAGTTGGTGGTGCATTTCTCTCTTCAATTCTGCAAGTTCTCTTTGATAGGCTTGCTCCTCAAGGTGAGCTGCTGAAGATGTTTCAAAGGGGCAAGCATGATGTTTTGCTGTTAAAGAAGCTGAGGAGGACTTTGCGTGGTCTTAAGATTGTGCTAAATGATGCAGAGAATAAACAGGCATCAAATCCAAATGTGAGCGAGTGGCTTTATGAACTTCGGGATGCTGTAGACAGTGCTGAAAACTTAATGGAAGAAATCAATTATGAAGTTCTCCGAGTTAAGGTGGAAGGTCAGTATCAAAATCTTGTAGACACAAGCAACCAGCAGGGAAGTGATCTCAACTTGTGCTTGAGTGATAAATTTTTTCTTTACATAAAGGAGAAGTTGGTAGATTCCATTGAAACATTGGAGGAGCTGCAAAAGCAAATTGGCTGCCTTGGCCTAAATGACCATCTTGACTCGGGTAAACAAGAAACTAGAAGACTTTCAACTTCTGTGGTTGATGAATTTGATATCTTTGGTAGGCAGAATGAAATAAATATATTGGTTGACCGTTTATTGTCTGATGATGCAATTAAAAAAAGGTTGACTGTAATTCCTATTGTTGGAATGGCAGGTGTTGGCAAGACAACACTTGCTAAAGTTGTTTACAATGATGAGAAGGTGAAACAACATTTTAAGTTGAAATCTTGGATCTCTGTGTCTGAACCATATGATGTTTTTAGAATAACAAAAGGGTTACTTCAAGAAATTGGTTCATCCGACTTGATGGTTGATAACAATCTTAATCAGCTTCAGATCAAATTGATGGAAAGCTTAAAGGGGAAAAAGTTCCTTATTGTTTTAGATGATGTTTGGAATGACAACTACAATGACTGGTATGACTTGAGAATTCCTTTTGCACAAGGAGAAAATGGAAGTATGATCATTGTGACGACACGTAAGGAGAGTGTTGCCTTGATGATGGGTATTGGGCCAATTAACGTGGGAACTTTGTCTACTGAAGTCTCTTGGCCTTTATTCGAAAGACATGCATTTGAAAATAGGGATCCTAAGGAACATCCAGAACTTGAAGAGGTAGGAAAACAAATTGCAAAGAAGTGCAAAGGATTGCCTTTAGCACTAAAGACGCTTGCTGGTTTGTTGCGCTCCAAATCAGAGGTTGAAGAGTGGAGACGTGTTTTGAGAAGCGAAATATGGGAACTGCCGGATAACAGCATATTACCAGCGCTGATGCTGAGCTACATTGATCTTCCCGTGCATTTGAGGCAATGTTTTTCCTATTGTGCAATATTTCCCAAAGATTATCCATTTTGCAAAGAACAAGTCATTCGACTCTGGATTGCTAATGGTCTCGTACAACAGTTGCAAAAAGATGAAACAGTTGAAGATTTAGGCAACCAATACTTTCTCGAGTTGCGATCAAGATCGTTGTTCGAAAGGGTCCAAGAGTCCTCTAAAAGGAAGGTAGAGGTATTCTTAATGCATGACCTTGTCAATGATTTGGCCCAAATGGCATCTTCAAAACTTTGTATCAATCTGGAAGATAATGAAGGATCTCATATATTGGAAAAAAGTCGACACCTATCATATTCAATGGGATATGGTGACTTTGAGAAATTGAAACCCCTACACAAATTGAAGCAGCTGAGAACATTGCTTCCAATAAGTTTTGAGCTTGATAATTCATTTCCTTTAAGCAAGAGGGTGTTGAATAACATATTGCCATGTCTAACATCCTTAAGGGCATTATCATTGGCTTGTTATGAGATTGAGGAGTTGCCAAATGTCTTGTTAATCGAATTAAAGCTCCTGAAATTTTTGGACCTTTCCCTGACAAAGATAAGAAAGTTACCAGATTCGATTTGTGTATTGTACAACTTAGAGACATTTCTCTTGTCATCTTGTTATTATCTTGAGGAGTTACCAGTGCAAATGGAAAAGTTGATCAACTTGCGTTACCTTGACATTAGCAACACTTCTCGCTTGAAGCTACCGCTACATCCAAGCAAGTTCAAAAGCCTCCACGTGCTAGTGGGAGCTAAATTTCTTCTAGATGGTTGCAGTGGTTCGAGAATCGGAGGTATGGATAAGCTGCATAACTTGTATGGATCTCTTTCAATTCTAGAGTTGCAAAATGTGGTTGATAGAAGGGAAGCTGTGAAGGCAAACATGAGGGACAAGAATCATATTGAAAAGTTATCGTTGGAGTGGAGTGAGAGTATTGCTGACAGTTCACAAGATGAAAGAGACATACTTGATGAGCTACATCCAAATCGGAACATAAAAGAACTCCAAATCACCGGATATGCAGGGACAAAGTTTCCAAACTGGATCGCTGATCATTCGTTTCTTAAACTGGTGAAATTGTCTCTTAGCAATTGCAAGGATTGTGATTCCCTTCCAGCACTAGGACAACTTCCTTCTTTGAAATTCCTTGCAATTCGAGGGATGCATCGAATAGTGGAGGTAGCTGAAGATTTTTATGGTAATTTGTCTTCCAAGAAGCCTTTTAACTCTCTTGAGAAGCTTGAATTTGCAAGGATGCTGGAGTGGAAGCACTGGCATGTATTAGGGAATGGAGATTTCCCTACACTTCAGGACCTTTCAATTTTTGATTGCCCAAAGTTGATTGGGAAGTTTCCTCAAAATCTTTGTTCTCTAACAAGATTGATAATTTCAAAATGTCCTGAACTCATTATGGAGACACCTATTCAACTTTCAAGTTTGAAAAAGTTTGTAGTTGTTGGTTCTCCTAAGGTTGGAGTTCTTTCTGATCATGCTGAACTGTTTGCATCCCAACTTCAGGGAATGAAGCAGATAGTTGAATTATGTATTGATCACTCTGACTCTCTTACCTGCTTACCCATTAGCAGTTTGCCAAGCACTTTGAAGAAACTAAGGATGCGTCGTTGTCAGAAATTGAAATTGGAGACGTCAATTAGTCAGATGATTTCTAGAGGAAGTAACATGTTTCTCGAGAATCTGGAACTTGATGCATGTGATTCTATAGATGATATATCACCTGAGTTGGTTCCAAGAGCACGCTATTTTAGCGTAGAAAGTTGTCACAGCCTTACTAGGCTTTTGATTCCCAATGGTACTGAACATCTCAGAATTAATGAATGTGAAAATCTGGAAATACTTTTGGTGGCATGCGGGACTCAGACGATGCCATTGCGTAAGTTGTATATTTTCAACTGCGAAAAGCTGAAGTCGCTTCCAGAACGTATGGAGGAACTCCTTCCATATCTTAAGGAACTGCTACTTCAAAATTGTCCAGAAATGGAGTCTTTTCCTGAAGGAGGATTGCCCTGCAATTTAGAAGTCCTTGAGATCCACAATTGCAAGAAACTGGTGAATTGCCGGAAGGAGTGGGACTTACAGAGACTCCCTTTTCTCACAGATTTAACCATCTACCATGATGGTAGTGATGAAGAGATTCTTGCTGGTGAAAATTGGGAGTTGCCTTGCTCTATTCGAAGTCTTGAAGTAGACAATCTGAAAACATTAAGCTGCCAAGTTGTCAAACGCCTCACCTCGCTTGAATCTCTATTTATTGTTAATTTACCCCAAATTCGGTCACTGCTGGAAGAAGGGCTTCCCTCATCTCTTTCTGAGTTATATTTATATCGGCATCATGAGCTCCATTCACTACCAACCGAAGGTCTTAGGCACCACACTTCCCTTCGATTTCTAGAGATCAGCTCCTGCTATCAACTTCAATCTCTTCCAGAATCAGCGCTTCCCTCCTCCCTTTCTGTGCTGAATATATGGGATTGCCCTCTTGCAGAATCAGCACTGCCCTCTTCCCTCTCTAAGCTGTCCATCTGGACTTGCCCTAATCTCCAATCCCTTCCAGTAAAAGGGATGCCCTCTTCCATCTCTAGACTATCTATTCACAACTGCCCATTGCTCAAACCACGTCTAGAATTCGAGAAGGGTGATTACTGGCCAAAAATTGCTCATATTCCCACCATAAAGGTCGAGGGGGAGTACCTGTAATGGTTGAAGCAAGTGGTGCTCCGATAGATGTAATTTTTTTTTTCAGTAGCTTTTTATTTTTGTTTACTTCCCTTAGCTTGTTTGTTAATTATTTTCCTTCATTAATTTTTTTTAGCAGCGCAAAGCGTCTATTGCAAAAATGAAGCCATGGAATCATCATCAAGTCTGAGTTGTCCTAATCTTCAATCTCTTCCAGTAAAGGGAATGCCCTCTTCCATCTGTAGTTTCAACTGCCCATTGCTCAAACCATGTCTAAAATTTGAGAAAGGAGAATAGTGGCCAAAAACTTTGATAGATGTAAATTATTCACTTCTTCAGCAACTTTATATTTCATTACTTCTCTTCGCTTGTTTGTAAATTCTTTTTCTTTGTTAATCTTGTAGAGCAGCGCAAAGCGTCAATTGCCAGCCTTTTTGCACAGTTGATGAAAGAAATGTTGTGCTGACATTCTTTATGAATAGGCAATCACCTCAATAGTGGTCTGTTAGAAGAGTGTAAGTGAGGAAACATACATCTCTTTTGTGTGGAATTTTGCCAGCTTTACTTCTCTTTCATCAGTCTGAGAAGGAAATGTTATGTAATTTTCTGTACTGGAGTTTTCCCTATGCCGAACTTCAAACATCAATGAAAAGGACTAGTCATTCTATATATCAGTTAAATGATCCACTGCTATTAACTATTGAAACTGATATTTTGTCCAAATTAAATGGTTGACTAAGCTTCACATATTACACAATTTATATAACTTCTTATGCTCTGACTAGTTCTTCTTTTACAGTGTATTATTCAGCATAGATTGGTAGTAGTTTAGAGTCTTGGCTCTATTAACATTTATTTATTCTAACAAACTCCTTAACTTAAAAAATTTCACTCATTGCACCACTTTCAGGTTTTCTTTCCAACATATCATAACAGATCAAATGCAATGTTTGACCAATGATCCACTGCTATTAACTTCCGAAACTGATATTTTGTCTAAATAAGTAAGTATTTGTGCTGTTTTCTAGTTAAACCAGACCATGATCAATGTGATCTTCTCTTGATTAAAAAGAATGATTCATTTCCAGTAAAAACTAGAAAGAAACAAATTTGATGGTATGTCTGAATGATATAGCTCTCCGCTCTTGATTAAGAAGAATGATTCATCCTACTGTGTGATGTTTGATCGTCATTAAATGCAGAGATCTATGCTAAAGTTCTATATAGAAATTATTTTCCAATGTATGTGTGTATGCAGAGGCGGACCCAGGAATTTAATGCGATGGGGGCACAATATTTTGTTCAATCAGTGCCCCCTAAAGGCTTTTAGCGTTAAGGGTGCCAAGTGATTTAAATTAACCATTTTCAAGATATACACATATACATATATAAGATTTCTGCCGAAATTTACGAGGTCTGATGACCCTGAACATAAGTCATAGGTCCGTGTGTATGTATAATCACGGGCAACCATCCAAAAGTTTCAAAAAGAAAAAAAAAATGAACTTCTGTTGTTAGGAGTTGGCAGCTATACGTCTTCATATATTTTTATAGTTAGATTGCTTATTTCATAAGCGTGTGCCCTTTCAATTCTTTCTTTTGTTCAAATTTCCTCCTTCGCCTCTAGCCTAAACCTGGGTTGGATGATAAACTTGTCATCAGGAACGTGATGAGCGTGAAATGATAGTTTTACTCCTATAGGACAGCATTTTTTAGTTTTATATGTATTTTACGGCCATCTTATATAGGAATAGGCATTTTTAGGTTTGTACCTATGTTATTACAATTATCATCTCGAGAATGGAGTTTTAACAAATTAAGGATAATGTTATAGTTTTTTCTATTTTGGGGATTTGATAACACGACATGGTATGATTAACCAGCTCTTTGCTCTATTTTGAGAATGATTTCATTTTATAGCTGCCTCCTCCCTCTCTGAGATGGTCATCGACAATAGTCCCAATCTCCAGTTCGTTGCCTATAAGGCTATAACCATGTCTAGAATTTAAGAAGGGGAAATACTGGCTAAGAAGAGGGAATGCTGGTCACAAAGCGCCCAAATTTCCACCATAAGAATCAAGGAGGAATGCATATAATGGTAAAATTAAATGGTACTGTGATAGAGGTAAGTTATACTCTCCTTCTGTTGCTTTTCTTTTTGCTACTTCTCTTTGTTTTCTTGAAATTCTTTTTACTTGTTAAATCTTGTTGAGCAGTGTGTATCATCTATTGCACTGTGAAGCAGAGGAAGCATCTTAACTTTGAGATGAAATTTAATGTTAAATGACAACAAAGATGATACATTCCAACTACAGAATATTTATACGTTCTGAAAAAGAATATATTGGTAGGAAACTAGGAATTAATAATTTTCTCTAGAACGTTGATAGCAAGTTGTAATATTAACAAATTAGAATTCTTTTACCATGAGGATACGTAGCAATGTCAGCCTGGATGTGCATAGTCTTTCGGAATATGACCCAATCTTGCTTGAAGATTTTGTGGTGCATGTATTGCTTGAAGTTTCATCGCAATAGCCACTCATATAATCTTGTTCTTTTCCTTTTTGCAGTGAGTTGAGCAAGGAGGAGGAGGTTGTCCACAAGTTCACTGTTGAGCTTTGATCTGTTTGCTGAGATGTGTAAAAGTTATTTCTCCTCCTTAAATGCAGAGCTCTAATACAAGTCAAAGGTACATGTGACAGATTATTTGCTTTCTACCTATTAAAAATATTGAAGTTTTTCTCCCAACATCTCTTGCTCTTCGTTTAGTTGGTGAAAGGAAAGTGTTTACTGTGAAAATGGTAACAACAATTAAATTTGTAAATGGAATTCTAAAAATACGTGATCTATTTTTATGCTAGTTGTTACAGCAAACGATGCTAGGAATATGAAGTTTAACGATGAAATGCAAGCTAAAATGAGGTAGTAATCAAACCGAGGGGCTTACTGCCCTAGCTTCGGACTGGTCGATGGAGGACCTCGGGGTCGATAGCTGAGCTCGATCTCGAGCTATCGGGGGTAGTCGGGAAGGGGATAACAGTTAAGATATGATTAAACAGTGCTCTTTATGGCCAATACCAAGTAATAAATGAAGAACAAGTAGGAGAAAATTGAATGCCAATGTGGCCTCGAGCCAGTGAGAGCAAGCGAATTAGAGAGAAGAGAGAGAAAGATATTATTGATCTTGTGGAGAAATAGTTGGAGCAACATCAGCCCTTTACAAGGTGGTGTGGGTTCCCTTTATATAGGAGGGGAACCCGGCTATAATACATGGGCATTAATTGTAAAGCATGGAGACGTGATGGATAGATGCGACACTTCGGCGTAGGCTCTGGATAGGCTGACCCTGTCAGACTTAGCCGTGTTCATAGGGAACTTCCCCTTTTGTTCTAGCCTCGTCCTCCGTCTTCTTCGAATCGGGCCTCGACGAGCCCCGAGGGAGGGAACTCGATCGTGGCTTCACGTCCTCGGGGTCTCGAGGCATTCTTCCGAAATGGCTTGATAGCGAGAAATCAAATTTTCTGATTTTGCCGCATACAGATAGTCTCCACGTTTTCCAGAACAAAGTGATGGGAAATGATTCTGACCCCTCGAGCTTCTTGTGGTGACGTCACACTAATGATGTAACCTATGGCGCGAGCTTTTGTGGCAACTGGGGTGCCCCACGGACTTGTGCATTTCGACATCATTTAACGTGTTGCCGATTCCCCTTCTCCAAGGAGAGTGTATCGCCGTCGATTTGGTTTTTCAGGAACGCAGTAATTGCATCCGCCGGTCAATCTTCCAAATCCTCGATGATCGTGTCGCTACCCCTATAAATGGGGGTGCCTTGGCGTTGATTTTCCTATCCCAGTACCTCCGTTGGTTCATTTGCCCATTTCTTCTTATCGTCTTCCTCCATCCTTGAACATCATGTTTGGATCTCATGGCCTCAAGGACGTTCGGCAGAGCTCCCGCAGGCTGTGCTGTGGTCTGTTGCCGAAACCTCCCTTTGTCGAGCACGATCATGTCGTCCTGTCGTTGCTGTGGATGTTGTTACGTTTACTGCTGTTTGCTCGAGATGACGACATACGAGGTTCAACTTTCCTTGCTCGCGAAAAGCTCTTCAGATTGCATACCGCTGCTCAAAAGTGGGCTCGGATTATACACCACTGCTCACCTTCATACCCCGGCTTGACGTGGTGCTCTGCCCCGAGCTGGAGGCTTGCACGGCTAGATGTTCCAAGAAGTGGACTCTAAGTAGCCGAGAAAGTGGGGCCGAGGCTTGTTCGGTCCGCTGTCTCTCCGAGGTTCTCTTGGCCAGCGAGGGTCCTGGAGCTTCGGAGAGCTATGGCATTTTTTCATCCTCCCTGCTTCTCGCCCTATCCCTTAGGGATATCAGTGTGGAAGGCCGGGATGAGGCTTCTAAGGATGCGCGTCTGGAGGCACCCGTTGTAGGAGGCTGGCCTTCGAAGGTAGACCAATCTCTAGGCTTTTACTTCGCGTGTGCATCCTTCTGTTTCCTCCCTTTTTGGGGTAGAGATCCTTTGTAGGCCTTTGTAATTGTATGTAAGGACCCCTCGAGGGCTATTGTACATGGATTTTTATGAATATGAGTGTACTTCCTTAACTTCTGCTTTCGATTCTTGCCTTATTATTGCATGCTCTTGTGCCCTTTGATGCCTTCGAATGTTTTCCTTTGTTGTTGACCGCTGATACCTAACCCGGATGCGAGCGTTCTTTCCGATCCTCTGTTGATTGGCATGGCTCTTTTCCGAGCCCATCGTCGTACGTTGGACCATGCCTGAATTGATCTGATAGGTTCGGGCCGTCGGGCCCTCCGAGTTGCATGGATATAGTACGCTGAGTTTTGGAGCTTCCGAGAGTGGTAACCTGAGTGAAAGTCAGTTTTGGGTGCCTGGGGGTCTTTTTCGAACTTGATGCAGATAACTTTTTAAAGCGTAGGGGGTAGACTTCTATTGAGGGGTTGCCTGTACTCAAGCGCTGCCTCGAGCCTTCGTAATCGGAGCTTCACGTGCTTATTTTTCTTTTTAGAAAAGGAAACCATGAGATCGGGTACCGCCTTGAGTCGAGTGACGGCGTTGAACGATTCCCGAAGCCTGACTTCTTTTTTGGTGGAGATCCTCGGGGTCGGATGCTGCCTCGAAACTGGAGACAATACGGTTGACTCCTTGGGGCCTGGCTTCTCGTCGATGGATGCCTCTAGGGTCGGGCATCGCACCATCGATCTGTGTCGAGACCGTTGGCTTCTTGGGGCTCACTCCGGATAGGTAAATCGTCGCTGTTTCCCACATATACGTGGGATGGTTTCGGCTTCTTCAAAAAAGGTCTCACTATTTTAGATAACTACCCTTCCGTCTTGGCATAGGGTTCTTCATTTCTTCAGGCGCAAAAAGCGTTGGCGCACATTCTTGCTTTAGTCTGTCAATTCTACCGTAGTCATGGCAACTACTTTGGGGCTGACCCGCCAGGGAGTGGAGAGTGCCACTCCCGGTGCTCAAGATCCACTAGATTTCGCTCTGAAGACCGTGTCTTTGATAAAAGAGGAACATCTGGAGATGGTGAGGAGATACTGCGGATGGAGCGAGGGGATAATGCTGCAGGTGCTTTCCCCGGATGAGAGCATTACAGACTCTGCTGATGGATTCTTGAGCGTATACCTGTATCCT